ATGAGATCCAAAAAGATCGAAATCGCGATCCGCGTCTGGCAGTTTCGACAGAATACAGACCACTTCGAATTATTTTATTCGATTGTGGTGTACTAACACGTAGTGGTTAGCTACGCCGGGATTCGTTTCAGCAAGTAGATATTCATATATTTAAATGGACCTTGTTGGAGCATACGTAATCTTAAAATGTAGCATCGTACTACAGATGGCGTTTACCGCGCCATTTGTAGTATTTTATAAATAGCGCTGTTAAGACAGCAGATAAAGGTTGGTCTGTGTTCTGTCGGAGCTGTCTGTGACGTGCTGATGAGATCCAAAAAGATCGAAATCGCGATTCGCGTCTGGCAGTTTCGACAGAATACAGACCACTTCGAATTATTTTATTCTATTTTTTTTTTTTTAGTCTTGAAATCGATTTTTGTTTTTCTAAAAATTAACTTCATTTGAAGAGATATTCCTTTCTATTTCTTCTCGGACCTTAGATGAAACTTCTCTTTACTTGGCGACTTATCAAGAAGATAAGTTTACACCCAAAAGATCTGATAAATAATGCAATCAATTTTAGCACTTTACGAAGTTCAATGTGCACTTTAAAATTTAAATGGGACTGCCTTCCCAATCATGACTGTCTGACCATCGTTTGAAGCGTGACGGCTTCGAGACAGTTTAAAAGTTATAGAACAGGAGATTTCAAAGATGATATTGTTATTAAAATAAAGAGGTTTTGTTTATAGTAATCATTTATTTAACTGAAATTGAATATATCAACTTACACATTACGACTAGATGCTACTGTAAAAAGCGAAATTTCGCGAATTAAAAAACTACTAAGAAATGTTAATAAACCTTTAGCTCAAGTATGTCGTCGGTTACATGAAATCAGTTTAGTTGAAGATAACATAGCATGGTATGGATCTTTTGGCTGGATCGGGAATGGATCTATTGAATGGGTTCAGCATGGATCTTTGAAACGGATCCGTCATGGATTTTAGAAACGGATTCGTCATAGATCTTAGAAACAGATCCGACATGGACTTTTCAAACGGATCCTATGTTGATCATATATGGCGTGACGATTTTCCATCATACCCAGATAAGAAAGCCTGATTTATTTCTGATCAATCTTCAGGCAATTCTGATCCGCATCAGATCCAATACACTAACTAATTTCAAGTCGGGTTGCTTCTGTGTGGTGCCCAGCGCATTCTCCAAATATATGCTATGTCTGATAAGTATTCTGAAATATTTGAAAGGTAACATTTGGAGGCACTGTAAAATTCATTTCGTGATAGTTCCACAGCGTAACGGGTGTAAAAAGTATTCATAAAAAGTAGCCTTGTTAACGAGTCGTTAATGATCGAGAATAGTTGCCAATTTTGCTGCCGCGTTATCCCATCGCCCGTTGTAATCGTTAACGTCCTACTCATGACCTTCGCAACAGCTAGTACACAGACAGGTCAGTTGCACGTGTGACGATTATTAGTACTAGCCTGCATTTCGTAGTTTATGTTCGATTTGCATTTTAACGGTGCGGAATCACACCATTACCTTTAATGACATCCTAACGTTAGGAGAGGAATTGTACGTACCATACTCTGCCCGTATTTGATTGTTGGGTCCATTCTTGGGAGACCTGTATGTACTATCCGGTTACTAATAAACTTTCTATGGAATCACCTACCATCAAGCACTTTTTTTTATATCAACTTTATACTGAATTTTTAAATTTACTGTTATTTTTTCCGAAATTATATTTTACTTTGAAACATCGTGAGTTCAAAAATATATAATTTAGTTCACTACAACTAGATGACACCAGACTATCCCAACGTTTCTTCCAATAAATGCTTAATTTTACAACCAACGTTAGGTAACTGTATTGATCTATAATAGTACAATAAAAATCTGTAATCCGGTACTCAGTCGGTTACAGCCCTCCGTTTAAAACCATATTTTTTAAAAGCCTTCGGTCTGGTTTGCCTGTAGGACTTAAAGGCATATCTTTAATAATTTTTACACCTCCCCTTAGCCTCTTGCGATCATCAACTTTGTCGTCGACGAATTTTTTAATTTCTGCCGGATCAATTTCTACGCCGTCTTTGAGTACAACTAAAGCAATCGGATGATCTCCGTCTACTTCGTGGGGAACGCCAATAACAACACCGTGCTTAACAGCCGGATGACGAGATAAAACGTCTTCTATGGAAGAGGGACTTACTGGAAATGATTTATATTTGAGCATTTCTTTGCATCGATCAGTAATATAAATGTATTCGTCTTCATCATAGTATCCTATATCACCAGTCCTGATGAAACCTTCAAGATCATACGTGTCAGGCGAAATGAGATTGTAGTAACCATTCATTCTGTAAGCACCTCCTACGCAAATCTCACCTTCTTGATAGGGTCCCAGTGTTTCGCCAGTTACCAAATCTGTAATCTAAGCAGACAATTAATATGAGTTTGTGGTCATACCAAAGACTAGACACACGAATAATTTTTTAAAAACTGTTCTATTCCCTGTGTAAGCGGCCCAGAAAGCATTAATTTTTTTATTTGCTTAATAGCATGTAAAGAACTGCAGAACAAAATGTAAAATGCACTAATGTAGATGCTAATGTATGATATATGAATTAGTCTAGATGCATGTAAGGTGCTCAGTGAAGACATACCGTTATTTTTATATGATAATACTTTTTAGATACAAAATTGTATAGTTGATGGTCATCTATGTTTTGAGTTTTGAGGTAGACTCTTAATCAAAGCTGCTTCTTGCTTCGCAGAAATTGACATCAATTTTTTTTATTTTTTAAATGGAACACACTGTTTATATTGATATTTTTGGATACCTTATTAAATTGAAATTGAAGTTTAGCAGTCTCATGGGTCTTAAACCATGCTTAAACTTAGCGAAGAGATCATTTTATTGCCTGGCAATGGGATCAGATTAGATTAAAGTTCGAGAAGTAATTGGCTCGGACCATTTGCCATTATTGATAAAATGGAAGGAGACGGGATTTGAGAAAGGGACAAGGTCTGAAGGATGTAAATGATTGGTCAGAAAATGTGATAATGGAGTTTCGAAAACGAATAGGTGAAAGAATAGAGTTTACAAATGATTAGAAAGATATGTACGAGAATGTTGGTTGAATAAAAAGAAGAAAGTAGGAGTCAGTAGTGAGAAATGGTGAAATGTGTAGTACTTCCCCGTTATAAAGTGAACCGTTAGGACTCGACCTTCAGCTGTTACTCTTTTGACCATGAATGATATGCCTTTATGCGGTTAAATACACGGTTTATATTCGAACAAATTTGTATTTAAATTATGGGTTTGTTTTAATGGCAAAAAGAATTATTATAGAATTTTGGGTTTTATTTTTTTTTTTTGGGAAACGATTTACTGTCGCATATTTAACACCCCTTGTGCGTACGTATCGCTCCCAGGGCGTTTCAAAATATACTTCGATTATGTTCGTTACCACATTGTCATCCGTGATTACACCAAGTAAGAGAAAATGCGAACTAATGACATTTGTCAATATTATTTCAATTGTTGCTTTCCATTGCCTACTTTGTTTAATGTATCGCTGACTGTTGCTTTCAGGCATATGCAAAAAAACAGTTTTCTTTTTTGAAAATGCTAACTGAGGTTCACCACTTTAAGCTGCTGGTAAAATCGGTTTTAATGAAACTTAGGTGCAAGTTGTCTTCAATAGGTATACTATTTTGCTAATTACTATTAACCTTAATTATAGCTCCTTGTACTGTTTTACCGCAGGATAGTTTAAACAGCTTTTCTTTCATTAATTTTACGTAATTTTCGTGTCTCGGATATGCTGTTGTTGGTCCTACTTCGGTTTGTCCGTAACAATTTAAAAGTCTGGTGTTTGGAAACGTTTCGGCTGCTAAGCGGAGGTGTTTTTCGGTTACTGGTGTTCCTCCCATCGTTATTTCATTCAAATGTAGGGTTATGTTCTGATTTTGACAGTATTCTGTTACATCAACCAAATAAGGAAATGGTAAGAACACAGCTTGCAGCTACAAATGAAAGAAAACCATTTATTAGCATCTTATACACGAAAACTTTCAACATTACAATATTGAGTGAGAATAATCCTTCACAGTGTTATTTTCGGGCATTCCCTCCGGGCTACGCTGGAAGGTAGGGCGGAAGACCCTCTTCAGCCAATTTCCGTTTTCAGTTGGAGGAGTGCCAGCGGCGCGAGGGTCAACATTTAGACAACATCATCTTTGGTACTTAATTTTCCAAAAGTCTCCAAAAATTACCAAAAAAGATTTTTTCTGACTTGTAGTTTTTGTAGCATTTAGGGAAGACGCCGGTTTGATTTGGGGTTCGTCTGCCTGGTCCAAGTTTTCTATAATTTCCTTGGAGCTCTTAGGCAAAGGTCGAGGCAAGTAATATTCCACAGATAATCTTTCATTCTCTCCTGTCTTCATTGCGTCCGTTTCATGTTTCCCCTCCGAAGGAGGCTGAAGAGGCTCTTTCGTCCTACATTCCGGCCTAGTCAGCATTACTGACTGGTGGGAATGAAACACCCAAAAGTTTAGTTTTTATTTTTTTCTGTTATTTTTTCTACGGGCGGAATAACTAGAAGAAATAGAGGAAATAGAGGAACGTGGGAGGCCATTCCAGCTTTACGGGTAACAATAGAGAAAACGATTGGAAAAAGAAAGAGTGCGTAGGATTTGCAGATTTATAAAAAGCCTTTGACAACGTCAAGTGGGACAAGATATTAAATGTATTTCAAAATGTAGGGATGAGTTACAAAGGTAGGAGAGTTATTTAGTTTGTATAAAGAGCAACAGGCAGTTATAGAGTTGGGGCTGCAACGTAGCGAAGTAAATATTTGGATGGGAGTCAGATAGAAATGCACACTGTCACTGCTACTTTCTAATCTATACATCAAAGACGCGACCAACATTATTAAAAACAGTACAACTGTAGAGATAGATATACAGGGGCAAAAGATTAGTATGCTTAGATTTGCAGATGGAATAGCAGTATTAGCATTTAGCAAGGAGTAGTTACGGATAGCTTTAAATAAAATGGAAGCGGTATTGACAAAACAGTACTGTATGAAAATAAGTAAAACTAGTTGTTTTAT